CAACGTGGATTAAAGACCTAAATCTATGACCTGACACCATCAAATTATTAGAGAACATTGGAGAAACCTTGCTAGATATTGGCACTGGCAAAGACTTCCTGGAAAGGACCCTGGAAGTGCAGGCAGTCAAAGCCTAAATTAACTATTGGGATTGCATCAAATTGAGAAGTTTCTGTACTGCAAAAGAAACCGTCAGGAGAGTGAAGAGACAACCGACAGAATGGGAAAAAATATTTGCAAACTATGCTACAGATAAAGGATTAATAACTGGAATTTACAAAGAGATTAAGAAACTCTACAACATCAAAACAAACAACCCACTTAAGAAATGGGCCAAGGACCTCAATAGACATTTTCCAAAGAGGAAATCCAAAGGGCCAACAGACACATGAAAAAATGTTCAAGATCACTAGCAATCAGGGAAATGCAAATCAAAACCACAATGAGGTTCACCTCACCCCGGAGTGAATGGCTTACATTCAGAAATCTACCAAAAACAGATGCTGGAGAGGATGTGGGGAAAAAGGGACACTAACCCACTGTTCGTGGGAATGCAAACTGGTCAAGCCACTATGGAAGTCAGTCTGGAGATTCCTCAGAAACCTGAATATAACCCTACCATTAAACCCAGCCATCCCACTCCTTGGAATTTACCCAAAGGAAATTAAATTGGCAAACAAACAAGCTGTCTGCACATTAATGTTTATTGCAGCTCAATTCACAATAGCTAGGACCTGGAATCAACACGAATGCCCATCAACAGTAGACTGGATAAAGATATTATGGGATATGTACTCCATAGAATACTATACAGCAGTCAAAAACAATGAAATCCGGTCATTTGCAACAAAATGGAGGAATCTGGAAAACATTGTGCTGAGTGAAATAAGCCAGTCCTAAAGGGACAAATATCATATGTTCTCCCTGATCGGTGACAAGTAAACAAGCACCAAAAAGGAAACCTGTTGAAGTGAAATTTACACTATGAGAAACAGTGACTTGATCATCCCTTGCCCTGACTGTTGATGAACAACTTAATATGTTATCCCTCTTAGTATTTTGGTTTGTTTGTTCTACTTAATACTATTGGCTGAAATCTATAATTAATACACAGTTATTGTTAAGTGTTGAGACTTAACTGAATAGTGATCACTGTTAAATATAAGAGTGAGAATAAAAGAGGGAAGAGATGTACAATTTGGGACATGCTCAAGTGACTTGCCCCAAAAGGTAGAGTTGGAAACATACCAGGGGATTCCAATTCAATCCCATCAAGGTGGCATGTACCAATGCCATCTCACTAGTCCCAGTGATCAATTTCTGTTCACAATTGATCATAATGATAGGACTAAGAGTCAAAGCGTTCACATAAACAAGACTAGTATCTGCAAATACTAACCGATAGAATAAAAAAGGAAGAGAACGATCCAACATGGGAAGCAAGATACACAGCAGACTCATAGAATGGCGGATGTCCTAAACAGCACTCTGGCCTCAGAATCAGCCCTTAAGGCATGTGGATCTGGCTGAAAAGCCCATGAGAGTATTTCAGGCATGGAAAACCAAGACACTATGTCAAAAAAAAAAAAATGACCTAAATGAAAGATCTCTGCGAGTGAGATCCCAGTGGAAAGAACAGGTCATCAAAGAAGGAGGTACCTTTCTCTGAAGGGAGGAGAGAACTTCCACTTTGACTATAACCTTGTCTAAATATGATCAGAGTCGGTGAACTCAAAAGGCTTCCATAGCCTTGGCAACTCATGACAAGAGCCTAGGGTGATTACTGATGCCATAAACAAGAGTGTCAATTTGTTAAGTCAACAACAGGAGTCACTGTGCACTTACTCCTCATGTAGGATCTCTGTCCTTAATGTGCTGTACATTGTGATTTAATGCTATAACTAGAACTCAAACAATATTTTTCACTTTGTGGTTCTATGTGGGTGCAAACTGTTGAAATCTTTACTTAATATATGCTATACTAATCTTCTCTATATAAAGAAAATTGAAAATGAATCTTGATGTGAATGGAAGGGGAGAGGGAGCAGGAAAGGTGAGGGTTGCAGGTGGAGGAAAGTTTTGGAGGGGGAAGCCATTGTAATCCATAAGCTGTACTTTGGAAATTTATATTCATTAAATAAAAGTTAAAAAATAAATAACTAAATAAATAAATAATTTTCTTTGGAATAAAAAAGATTGCAGACACCAAATCCAGATATGAATATGTCAAGAATGTTGATTTTACCATCTTGGGATTTAAAAACAATTATCATTAATGTGCTAAGTGATCTAAAGAATCAAGTAGATCCGTATGCACACAGATGGAAATTCGGAAAGAGAATCAAAAGGAAATGGTAGAAATTAAAATGCACACACTATCAAAGAAATGAAGAATGTCTTTGACTGGATTGTCAGTAGACTAGTCTCGGCTGAAAAAAGAATCTCTGAATTTCAGGATACTGTAACTAAACATCGAAAACTGAAAAGCAAACAGAAAAAGACCAGAATAGCCAAACAAAATGTCCAGGAACTGAAGGACAACTGCAATAGGTGCAACATATGTGTAGTGGGGACACCAAACAGAGAAAAAGAGAGAAAGAAATCTGAGAAATACGTAAAGAAGTAGTAACTGAATATTTCCTGAAACTGAGGACAGACACTGAACCGTAGATATCAGGAATCTCAGAGAACACCAGGCATGATGAAAGGCAAGAAAATAGTACCTAAGACTCGGATCTTCAAACTTCAGAAATCAAAGGTGAGAAATCTTGAGAGAACCTTGGAGGCTGAGGGTGCAATTGACAAATGATCAACAAAGATAATAATTCATCTGGCCTCACTAGCAATCATAGAAGCAGGAAGAGAGTGTATTGAAATATTTAAATGTTGACAAGTAGAAAAGGAAACACCAACCTAGAATTCTGTACCTGCAAAACCATCCTTCCTGAGTGAAGGAGGAACACTTTCTCAGATTAATAAAAATCGAGGGATTTTTTTCCAGTGCTCTATGTTACAGTAAATGTTAAAGAAGTTCTTTGCAATGAGTAGATCAAAATCTCTGGTCCACATAAAAAAAGAAAGAACACTGAAGATAAAATGAAATTTTGTTTTCTTATTTTTTTATTTATTTATTTATTTTTTTATTTTTGTGCAGGCAGAGTGGACAGTGAAAGAGAGAGAGAAAAGCCTTCCTTTTCCGTTGGTTCACCCCTCAATGGCCGCTGCAGTTGGTGTGCTGCAGCTGGTGCACCGCGCTAATCTGAAGCCAGGAGCCAGGTGCTTCTCCTGGTCTCCCATATGGGTGCAGGGCCCAAGCACTTGGGCCATATTCCACTGCACTCTCGGGCCACAGCAGAGAGCTGGACTGGAAGAGGAGCAACCGGGACAGAATCTGACACCCCACCTGGGACTAGAACCCAGGGTGCTGGCGCCGCAGGCGGAGGATTAGCCTTATTCTTAATTGACCTAACAGATGATAATCTGTTCAAAACAATAAGGAAAACTCCTGATGGGTCTTGGAAAAAAGTTCATGGAAAGTTCATGGAAAAAACACTGTGCATGGATTTCAAAATATATATAAAACTCTAGGGCAAACATTAAATAAAGTAGAAAAAAATATAATTATATAACGAACACTGAGAAATGAGAGAAAATATAATCATGAAATGCTGAATTAAAAACCATATAGTGGGGGCAGGTGTTTTGGACAGCAATTAAGACATAATATCCCACATCAGAATGTCTGGGTTCAAGTCTTGGCTCCACGTCTAGTTCCAGTCACTTGTTAATATAAACCCTGGTATGGAGCAGAACCATGATGGTTCAAGTACTTATCCCATGCATGGGATACTAGGATTCAATTATAAGCTCTTGGCTTTGGCCTGGCCTTGAAGTTGACTATTGCTGGCATTTGGGGAATAAAGCCTTGGATCTAAAATCTCTCTCTTTCTGTATATCTGCCTCTGCTTTTCTTTTTCTCTCTATCATCTTTTAAATTAATACAGTAAATAAGTAATACAAATTTTTTGAAACCCCACAATATGAAGAAAGAATGGAAGGAAAAATTTAAAAAGATAGGATAAAGAGAAACATCAAGAAAACTTATGAAATATCCTGGAACCCATGGGAGTAGGCCGTTGCGAGTGGGGATCTGCTCTGAGTAGGGGCTATTGTGTTTCAAGGGCACCTGGCCATGGTGGTTGAGGTGGCTGTGGGGCTGCAGAGTGAGTCTTGGGCTGGAATACAAACGAAGCTCAGGGGACGTGGGTTGGCAAGTGAGGCTGGAAACTACTAAAGTTCCTGTAGAAGCTAAGTAGAATTTCAATAAAATAAAAAAAAAAAAAACTTCCCTAGTAAAAAGAAAAAAAAAATTCTCTTTTCAAAGGGGGAATTGTCAATAGAAAATACTCAAGCAAAAATGTAGGACTGTACATATGGATGTACCAAAAGAAGTGATTTAGAAAGTTAGGAATCCTTGTGATGTAAAAGGTTGACTTTAGATTTAGCAGTCTACATGGATAACTTCATATCCTGTGAATGAGGTCTTCAAAAACTTAATGGAACATGTATATTATAAAATAGATATGCATGGGTTTCAAACATTTTTGCACCAAAATAGTCATTCAGTTTCATCTCCCATACATGCTTTGAAGTATCCATACACTTACACAGATTCTGACAAAAGCACTCTCCATTAGCAGTCACTGTGCATTAATCCAGGATAATCTGGAGGATGGAATTGGAAGGAATGGGTAGTTCAGCACCTACTATGGTCTGGTAGGGCATAAACTTTTCAATAGTCACATGTCCACAAATGTTACAAGAAGTGCAGAGGATATGTTCCTTGAGAATAATGATAGTTTGCACTCCAGAATTAAAGATGGGTCAGGTTTAATAGAAAGATTATTCTTGGTAAAATTAAGAAATTGAAGACATACAATTCTAAATCAGTATATAATAATATCAGTCAACACATGCACAATGATTTACTGAATACCTACCGTGTTCATAGTGCTATGCATGTCATTACCATTGATATGCTGCATAATTTATCTGGAGAGAAAGAAATGACAAAGACAAGGTATGATTCATTTTGATATATAGTTGGAAGCTAAATTCTGGCTTGATAACATGAGTCATAAGATGAGGGGAAAATCATCAGTCCAAGGTATATAAAGGAACAGGGAATAGCCCTAGATGAAGCAGTAGAATTAGGTAAATATGAGAAATATTGGGTAGTCAGAAGCATATGGTGGGAAATACGTGGGACAGCATATGATCCTTTCCTTGGAAACAGACTCCAGTGAACTGAGAAAATTCAAATGACTGTATTGTGATCTTGAAGTATTCATTTTATCACTACACATTGACAAGTATATTCAGAACATTGTATCAACTTTAAAGATCCAATATGATATATAGTTTGTATTTTGCTTTTTTGTGTGTTGTCTTAAATTTCAAGTTCCCTATGCATAACTCCTTATTTATTTTCAGTCATAATCACAGTAACATCTGCTTTCTTGCCCTGTTTCTTATTCTCAGTGATTGATAAACACAGGTGAGCAAGAACAGAATAACTTATGTAGAGATAAGATGCTTACTGTTTATGATCAATAGTGTTATATCTCAAGAATCCTGCAGCTCAGCTAGAACCATCACAGCACTAGTTTATCTCTAATAAATCAATATGATGTCCCTCTACGTGCTTGTCGTTTAGAATTTGTATAATGTAAGGATCATCACATAATAAAGCCCATTTCTCTTCCAGCTATCTACATATTTTTGGATATTGTAAAGTTGAGAATTGATTTCTCTCAGAAGAATCTTATAATGTATTCACTTAGGGGTAACCACATGTGCTGTTGCTAAAAAGGTCTCAGGAGCAAGAACATGCTAAAGGAGAGATGACTTAAACATTTCAAAGATAATATCTAAAGCTAAAAGGTGTTTTATTTTCCAAGTCATGGATGCAAATAAGAAACATTCCATTCACACCTTGATGCTCTTTTTCCGCTGAATGTCAGGAACAGGAGGTTCTGCTTTTAATTCCAGTTTGCTTGTAGATGAGACTACCTGGTTCATCCATGGAGCTCAGACCTGTTAGGCAAATAGAGAAATAGCACTTGCTTTAACAAAGTTTCTGCGTGATCTTTGCTTTGACTGTGATGAATCACAGAGCAGGCTCTGTGAGACTGAAGAAACTACACTTGCAGGGTTCCTCATCACAGCTGTAGTCACTTACCCTGACTGATCCAAGAAAGGGCATAATGAAACACTTTCCTTTGCCTGGGTAATAGAAGACTATAAAGCTTCCAGGAAATCTGTGAAAACTGAAAGCATACTTGATGGTTTTGCAGCCTAGAGATCTCATCAGTATCTAAACCTGTCATAAAGTGTGTTTAACAGAGGAGAAAAGCATTTGGAGAACTGACTTGTTTCATTAAGTTACTGCTACATTCTCATAACCAGATCGGAGAATCTATTATTTTTATCCTAGCAACATGACACTGGCTTGCTTCTGACGCCACCTTGGTGAGAATAATTTTAAGCACTTGATGTTCTCAGCTGACTGCTTCCCACACCAACATACTCACAGTGACTTGAATAACCATGGAAAATGAGTTGCATTTCCCTTGATTATTCCTGATATGTGACTCCAAGGAGTTATTCTTGGAGTAAAGTGGAAATGGGATGGGTTGATAGATCTATCTAAATCATTTAGAAATTACTTATAAGTCTTCGGTGTCATCTTAGTAGTGAATGATACATAGGGTGGTGAGCTACAGGGTGATAATTGCTCTTTTAGAACTGGAAGGGTTACCTGATGTTGTGATGACAAGTGTGCCTCTGTCATATGCTGGGACATATGCAGATGTGTCGTTAGAGGAGTTTCACCACCTGGGATGAGTTTATTATTGAATATTACAGGACACTTGAACTGCAGAGTCCTTCAAAATATCTAAAGTTACTCAGAACCACAAGAATAACAACCATAAGATGACACTGAAGAAAAGTCATCTCACTAAGCTGAAAGAAAATAAACTATTTCAATCATAATTTAAAATGAAATTTTCTACCATTTTAGATTTTTCCAAAAAGAATTGAGTTCCTGCTTATTCTACATTATGTCTTCATGATGTCAATTTTGTAAACATAGTACTTTTCTAATTTTCTTTAGTTAATTCTAAATTTATTTGCCTTGTTTCATAGTGTAGGCATTTCCTTTTTGAGTTAATGTACACAAGTTTTTATTCCCATTTGCAGCCCTTCCCCTCAGTTAGTCTTTTAAAAATGATGATACTGACTGGTGCTGTGGCTCACTAGGCTAATCCTCCACCTGTGGCACTGGCACCCCAGGGTTCTAGTCCCGGTTGGGGCACTGGGTGCTAGTCCCAGTTCCTCCATTTCCAGAAAAAAAAAATTAAAAATAAAATAAAATAAAATAATGATACTAACACTATTTATGTAGCAGAATATTGAGAATTTTAGTTTAAATAAAATCAGGGTTTAATTATTATGTCTTTTACTTTCTTGCTGAAAAAAATTTGGGGCAAGTAATTGAAACTCAGTCTGAATTTCTTTAGTTATAAAGTATATGAATGTAGTATTTATGCTGTACCATATATTAAACCAGCAGGTTTTTTGTGCAGATAGATCAATTGTAGAAAAAAACCTTTAATAGTTTAGATAAAAATGAATCCTCAATATTTACTATGGATAAAAATTATAATATTTATAGGTATCTAATCTATGTTTACTGTCAGTGAAGCTTATTTTCATTAAATCTCCTTTGTCTAAATTCTACTTAGCACTAGTGACAAAATATCAAGTGCGTTCTATGTACTATACTTAACTTCTTACCATGGAATTGTGGTCTTCTGGGGTAAATTAAAGTTTTTTAAGGATAATGTTGTCCTTATCACCAAAGAACTATACATAGAACTCTGAGATTATACGTGTCACAATTATAGTTCACTCCTAAAATTTTCAGTCATCTTTAACTATAGAATCTGGTTAAAAACTCCCAATTAAAAACTTATCTATGTTGTTGATTAATTAAAAGAGGTGAATTTGTATATACCTTCAAATTAGAATCAAGCCAAGTGATACTTGTGAATAGAAATTGTGTCCACTGCATTGTTCAAAATTAGTCATTTTTGTTTTACATGGTTAGCTAAAACAACCTACTTGTGGCTTTTTGGAGACAGTTATTTCTTTCCAGAGCCACCAGGGTCACTCAGCACTCTGGTTGGAATGCAATGCTTTACATAATTGACAAATAGTTCTTACCCATTTATAAATGATTGTGCTAAATTTCAGGCTATTGCCTATAGAACATGGTGTAAATTCCTTTTTTTTTTTTTTACTTCTTAATCTTTTGTAAAGTATTTCGCTATTTCTCCCTTCTGTCATAACATATCAATGTCACTTCGCAAACTTTGATCCATAATGCCACTGTTCCACCTTTTCTTCCTTTTCTGTATAAATATCCATCACTGTTGACATTTAACATTCACGAATGATGGTAGCAGATTTCACTTATGCATGATTGGATATGGTTTTCTATATTTAGACATGTGTTTGGTTCATCCAGAAAGTTTTCCATTCTTTATATTAATAGATTGATATGTTAAGTCCATCGCATTATTTTTCATAGAACAAATTTGTGTAACTGATGTTCTCCAAATATTTTTCCCAAGTTATATATGTAAATATATAATTCCCTGCCATTTAAAATAAACTAGTTTTATTTTATATGTCATATTTTGTATTAATAAGCTAATTTATATTACAATTGGCATTGCTCAAAATCATATTTAAGAAGATTCACAATTAGATGTCTTCTCATAAAGCAATACCTTCACATAAATTTGAACCACACTTCAGCCTGATACTTTGTATACGTTGGATTCTTCTAATATTTCATCTCCTGCAGGTTACCCTTGGTGCATTAGCTGAGACTACACTTTTGTACAAATACAGCCACCAATATAAAGTGTTGACTCAAGCATTGCCTCTTTTTCTGTTTACTGTAATTGTAGTTACCTATAGTTAATTCCCACAGAAGAGTAAGGTAAAATAGTTAACTAGTTATTAGCATAAACATTATATTTTAATTTAGACACTGAATTTTCTATGAATGAAATAATTATCTGTGAATTTATAATTATCTTCTAACAGAAACATTTTGGTTATATTATAAATATACATCCAGAAACTGTAGAGCTTTGTTTTAGTTTTAGTTTTTTTTCCCCTAAGCTAATATTTGGTTAATTTTATATCTATGGACAATTCTAAATGACACACCCACAGGACAAAACCATAGCATGACTTTTATTAACATGTGTACATAAAGGACATGTGTTTATATTATGAAAATTCATGAGTGTACACAAGCATAAATGTAATTGCATTGTACATAATTAAATACATTTCAATTTTATATTAACTGTCATATAGCCTGGTAATGAATTGCAAGTTAAGTCATTGTAGTTTAAAGTCAGTATGGAGGACAAGGATGGGCAGAAATGTTTATAGACTCCTAGGCACAAAGGGTGATCAACTCAAAGTACTTTGCATGGAACCAGACTAGAGCTGAGGGGGGAGATGGAAATGTTTCCACTTTCACACAGGTGACTTGACATACTTAATCATTGGTCGTTTTTGTGAGGCAAAACTACATAGACACTCCTACCCCATCTACCTTTCCTCAAGCCTCTCACTTTCAAGCCCTGAACCTGTTAATTATATTCTTTGGGAGTTAGATTATCCCAAAGTAAGCTAGAGCCAAATTCTGTATCTTTGAAATTTCATTGACTATTCTTCCTCCATATCTGATTCATGTGGTCACATTCCTAAGAATCAAAAGCAGTACCCACTGCTAACTTGGACAGGGTCATTATATTTATCCTCAAAATGCATTCCATATTGGTATCCAAATGCGAAAAGGCATCCTTATTTCCACAGAACGGAGAACTGAGGGAATTTAGGGAAGGAGAGATTTCCGCCCCCACTGACAGGCTCTCAGCCAGACATTTTTGTACAGGGCGCAATTGGCACAGTCCCATGTGTCAGCTTTAATGGGAAGCCTGCCCTGGGCCACATTACTTATGCTATAATAACTTGTAATATCTTCAGCTAACCTAATTTTTGTAGACCCCTGCTGTAATTCTTAACACAAGTAGTCTATGTTGTTTTGGATCCTTGCCAAATCAGGGAGTGCTCACTCCTTATATCTCCCCACACTAATTAATTGCTTAGTTTTTCAAAGTAGTGAGATGAAATTTCAGAACACTAATAAATAAATGGAAATAACTTGAAAGATATTTATTTGAGTGTCTTTTTTTTTTTGGAATTGTTTCAAAACAAAAAGGATTGGCAAAAAGGTTTGCCAAAGTCAAGCTTAACGGTCACTATGTGGTAACGGCTTCAAAAGGAGATGTTTCCTGTCATCCTCGGAAATCTTCCCAGATCCAGAGATGTTTGATGCAATAACATCCAATTACTACATTTTGCCTTTTTTGAAACATTTAAATAAAGGTCTTTCATGGTCAGTTAAATAAACATTTAGAAGTAGCAGACAAACACAATAATATTTGCAGGGTAGGTTGAAGAAAATTATTCCATTGCGCTCTCTCTCTCTCTCTCTCTCTCTCTCTCTCTCTCTTGTTTTTTCTCAAACATGGGTAAATAGCTCTTGGCTGGAATATTCACTGTAGAGACCATTGATCGAGCTTATCTCTGTGGAAGGGAAAGAATAGCTGTGGTTTACTAGATGCCCAAAAAGGCCCCTAGCTGAATCCAGTAGCATCATCAGTGCGGTTTAAGGCATAAATGAGTTTACAGTATACCAACCTGTGTTCAGATTTTGCCTCTGACACCTTGAAGAAATGAGTTGACCTTTTCTGAAATACACAAATCAATATCTTAGAAGAATGATGCCTCTAAATACAATGTAATCCCTAATTTAATGAACTACTAAATTCTCTGTGGAATCAAATGGATTTCTTATTGTCTGAGAATGTTTCCATGTTTGATAAATAAAGCAGAACTATGGAAGATGAGTCTTCTGTGTGCCTATTGGTTTCATTTTTAAAGAAATGAAAATCCTTACCCATTTTGACAGCACATATACCAAAGTTGGAAAAATACTAAGCAGATCATTGTAGCCACTGATCAAGGGTGATATTCTAAAGTGAAAACTCACTGCAGAAATACATGGAATAACTTATTTAAGATTAACTTTATTTAGAATTTATGAAGTAAATACACAGTTAGAAGCCAGGTGAGTAATCATGAACCTGGGAGGAAGATTTAGATTATGTTTCATTATTCCAGGGCAGTCTCTCTGTGTGTGTGTATGTGTGTGTGTGTGTTATCCCATTGGCTTAATCAATAAATAGTTATCACCATCAAATACTGGCTTCTGGACTTCATTATAAAAGCTTGGAATTTACATTGTAGGAATCTCAAGGATGCATAGCAATTCAATGACAATGTGGAGATTAGGTAATTATTAAATTCCTTTCTCTACCTAGGCATTATGTCTCACAGTTTATATTGACAAATGACTTTTAGTCAGCAAGTTCTTATTTAGAAAGGTACCTGTGACTATTTTCCCAGTGAAATACAGGCTTGAAACATCACCTCTATTTACTTATGCAAAATCAGGAAGCAGCGGGTATGGCAAAAATATGAGATAGAGTAGTGGGATACCGTAAGTAATATGTAAGTAAAATTCACATAATAACTACTTACAAAGACTTTAAAATAATAAAACATCCAGTCAGGCTTCATGTCTATCACACCAACAAAACATGAGGAAATACATAAAGATAGAGATACAAACTGGCAATTCTCTTTGTGCCTGTAGTTTCTGAAACAATAGTTGGTTAATTGTACAATTTGAATCTCTTACTTAAATCAAGTTTATATTACACTTGGACAGTATTACAATAATGACTATTGTAATGAAGTCATTATCTGGAAGTCAATATTAATTTATTATTAGAAGAATCAGTGAATCACATTGGCAAGTGAGAAGGAAGAGTTTAATATTATGTATTTGATTATTTCATAACCTGTGTGGACATTATAAGGCAGTTTTTAGTGCTTAAATTTTTATTTCTGTTATAATTACTTGATATGGAAGTACACTATGTTATAGTGGTTTTTCAGTAGAAAATCAAACTATGATTATTTTATCACTTTTTTCACAAAGAGCACTTTTTAGATGTACAGTTTGTTTATAGAATAGTAAAACTCAATATTGTAATGGGCTCTAGGGAAAGAGCAGTATCCTGATAACCATTTATTTTCACTGCTTCTCAAAACCCCATGGGAAATTGACAACTACTTGAAAATTTTGACTATTGATAGCTAGAAAACATATTTGCATATTTTAAGTAGGTTGCTTATCTGTTGTGTTTTAATGTTTGAAAATATATATTGTCTGCTAATTTCCTTTCATAGAATGTATAGAAGGAAAACCACTTCTGCTTTACGTCTGCTATAGAGGAAACCACCCGTGCTACAGCCCGGCAAGCCTGCATGCACATGTTTGTGTCTACAGGCATGCTGATACAGCTGTACACACTTCTACTTCTGTGTCTGGATATGAATATACCAATTTTGGTTAAAGCAATTTTTAGTGTTAGTATTATTAACAAAATGTTAATGTTATTTGATGCTAAGTCACCCAGTGCACAATGATGATACTTGCTTTTTTCAAACAGTTTTCTGTCGACCCTAAAGGCCTTTCATATGTGCTTCATTTTTGGTGAAAGATAAGTCTCCATTAATGCATTAAAAACATCACAAATCTATCAGATTTGCTACTTTCTTGGCTATTTTCCTCCTAGAGACTTTTTTCATTTTCCTGCTTTCTAGACGAACTGCTTACTAGCCCTGCTGCACAGCTG